GTGTTCAGTAATTTATATAGGATGACTTAAATAGTTAGATTTTTTAATTTATATATATATTTATTTATTTATTTTTTGTTCTAGGGAAATCCTGTGGTGCTTTTCTAGGTGTGGATAATGCAAATGTTGAGTACCCCAGTGGAGACACTCTGTTTGGTGATACAGCTGAGGTCACATGCAACCCAGGGTTAGTAACTAAGTCATAAATTATATTTTTAAGTTCAGAAAGATAATTTTAAGATGTTTGATTCAGTGTTCATGTTCAACCAGTTATTATAAACAGACACAACTGTCCTAATGTCTTTGGCATTATTATTCTTCATTGCCTTTTACTTTACTTTCAAAGAGACAGTCTTTCTTGTAATGTTTGGAATTAATCTACATCAATGTTTTTTTTTCATCCTTTCTAAAGGTGGTTCAATATTTTACATTGGGATCTAATTACTTTTCACTCATATTCAGTCTCTTGTATCTGAACATTTTCAGAAATTTCTCTAATTTTATGATACTTAAGTCTGATTCCAAAGTAATTTTTGAGTCATTCATTAAACCACAAGCAGGTTGCTAAATTCTAGATGAACCAGTGTAGTGTTGACACATGAAACAATGTAATAAAATGGATCCACTTTGTGCCCACTATGAAGCAGAGGCTAAAAAAGACCCTAGACTGTGGATGGTCAACATCCTGCTGACAGATCACTGAGAAATTAATTCCACCTGTGTACGATTTAAACATGTGAATTCACCTACTTACTGTATATTGTGCATTACATACAGTATAGATTAAAAACATTTTAAATACAGGTTGTACTAAATACTTTTTACTGTAACTGTTCATTTAGGCATTTTGTCTTTTACTGTTTTGTGATGTACTTTGTGTCCTTTTTTAAACCCTCACTATTTAGTTACATGTTAGTTGGTAACAAAGTAATCAGATGTGGAGTCCAAGGATGGATGGACAGGCCACCTGTGTGTGAAGGTTGGTCATCATGTGTTTACTCAGTTTATTAGATATTCAGTATTCATCTGAAGCCTAACTGATATGATTTTGTTCTGCAGTGGTGAAATGCCCTACACCTGGAGCAATTGGCAATGGCAGTTTTACCCCCCAGAATGAAAACTATAATTACAGAGAAGTTGTACGTTACTCCTGTAACACTGGATTTGAACTTAATGGATCAAGAGAATCTGTATGTTCTGAAGATAAAAAATTCCACCCTCAACCTCCAAATTGTGTCTGTAAGTGGGTTTCAGTCTGCACATTCTTAATATTTACAGTGGCAGTATTGTCATTTTTATTGAACGTTTTTACTTTTCATTTTACTTGCAGGGGTTGAATGTAAAGATCCTGTGATACAAAATGCTGTGTTTGTTGACGGGTCCAGACCTCCACATAAATATTTATCTTTGGTGACGTACCGTTGTAAAACTGGATATGTAATGATCGGACAACCTACCATAAAATGCAACATAAGCAGTCAGTGGTCACCAGAAGTCCCAAAATGCCAAGGTAAATCCCGACTCCAAATGCTGTATGTGTTTAGCCTAATAAGGCCATGCTAAATAATATGGATTTCATTTCTCTAGATGTGAACAGCATAACTCATAAAGTTGCTAAATTGGCCCCAGTTTGAACTCTTATTTTTTTAATTGATATATTCAAATTGAAGGAATAGTGAAATTCTCTAATCCCCCCCCCCACTACTTTCATATAAACTTGTTAAAAGACGTTGATCGAAAATAAGCTTGTATCAAGTCACAATGTTTTTGT